GAGCGGTTCTGAAAGTTGAGCATCTTTTGCATCATGTACCTCTTTTTTCAGGGCAGTATTAAGTAGTATTCAAAAAGGAACTGCTTTGCTCACAGTGCAAGACTTAAATTAGTAACAAAACTGTGCATCAAAAAGAGACACAGATGACACAGAGGACACTACGAGTAACAAAAAAAGCAGTAAGGGAAGTAATTGGCATCGTGAAGCTCTCTGCAGGGGGGTTCCTTTGAAAGGGAGAAAGGGAGGCAGCCTGCTTTTCAATTAGTGCTCCAGAAACAGCAAACGAGACAACAGAGAAACAGGATTCACGTGATCTACATACAATCATCCGTTTGTAAAGTGAAATCCGGTACGATTGATACTTCTTGGGATCATCTGCATACAACTCCTCATAAAACTGTAAAAATAGGTACAGGATTGTTTTTCCCTCTCCCTTTGAGACCTGATACTTCAGTAAGCACTATATAAATTAAATCAGAGTAAAACAAAATCAAGAATCTCTAATTTTTAGGTAGTCTACTCCTTAGTTGTGGTGTTAATGCCAGCCTCTCCTACACCAGCCATCAGAGAGGCTGATGTAGATGAGCTGCAGAACAGTCAGGCCTTTTAAAAACAAGCAGTACTAATACTGTGAAAGTCTGGAATATAACCTTTCTGAGAACCTGGGCAGGACATTTTCTTATGCTAATCAAGATGGGATTGCAGTGAATACTGCAATTCTAGCATCACGTCTGGAAAGCCTGTAAATTATTTCCGCTCTAGGAGTAGGAGTGGAAAAGCAGCATATACCTGACTTGGAGTCGACTTAACAATACTCAAACAACAGAAGTGAAATACTAAGGAATAAGTCTGTATTTAACAAGTAAAATTACATTCATTGTATTTGAAAATAAAGATAACTCCTCTGGGATGTAATTACATGACTGTGTGTTGTCTTGGGAACACAGAATGTGATGAGTAGGTCTCTTGGGGGGAAAAAAGGCTAAAAATCGTTAACACATGACTAAGCACCAGGAGGGAGCTGTCAGAGGTGGAAACATTCGCCATTAACCTTTGCCAGTGGGAGACAGCTGCTGTTGAGGCAAACTTACAATATACTTTCAATCAGTTCTCCAAAATCTATTAGCTGAATTATCTGATGCTTTCCTCAAAACCTTTGGTACTAAGACAAGAGCCCAACGATGATAACTTCTGTAACATAACTTCTGTAACAAGCAGGAAAGACTACACCTCGGCTTTTTTAAAGGAAGCAATGACACTCAGACTAGGATTTTTCTTCCTGAAGTAGCATTGTTCTCTACCAATAACCAGTGATAAGCCAATGATATTCCAACATGGGCCTCTTTGGAAAATTTCTCCAGAAATGAACTAGCCTGCACATGATAAACATACTCCTTTGCGGCAAAAGGTTGAGAGTTTCACCCTCTTTCCTTCATACACAAATGTGCAGTAACTTCTAAACAAGTTTCTTTTTCTGGAGCTATTTCTTTCTTCAAAACATACTGAATAGCTGGAGCTCATAACAGGGGATATCTGTGCAGCTTCAGGCAGGGAGGAGGGAAATGGGCTGAAAAGTGACATTAAGTGATTGAAGAACTACATCAGAGTTTTTCAACAAAATAAACACTGATCTATTACAGAGGAAACACCACTACTTGGCACTAATATTTTTTATGAGTTCCCTGGATATCAAACGTTCTATTTACCAATGATTAAACTCATTGGTTGAAATCTGGGATCCACAAGCTTTCTCCATGCCACAAACTTCAAACAAATTCCCTGAAATGTTATTACTTCATCAGCAATCATAAGTCTCTCTCTCCCATTACCTTACCTACAAAAAAAAATACCGCACTCATACCATTTTTTGGAGGAGGTTGCCTCCTGAAAACTGCTAAGAACTTACAGGTGCAGGAAGCCTGTAAGTCCCCTCATGTGCTCCTGCAGCATCATTTCCCTTACCAAGTTCTCATTAGTCAGCCGCGTGATCTCGTGCTGTAGACTGGCTTCAATGCGGGCCTCTGGAGGCAGCTGCAGATTCTGGGCTAGGAGCTGCTGCTGGCGATTGTTTTCTTCCTTCAGGCTTTGGATCTCACCTCGCAGCGATTCCAGTTCATTCTCATGGCTCTTCTTCTGTGACTGAAGCTGAGACTCCAGCAGCCTAAAGAAGTTGAGCAACAGTTGTGTGAACGCACTCAGAAAGCTGCATCCCCAGTTGTCAGGGGGAGTGTAAAGCTTTAGCTGCTGCTCAGGAACAATTAGCCATGGCTTGCAAAGGAAAATGAAAAAGGCAGAGTACTCTTTAAACCCTTCAGTATGCCTTCTAATTAAATTAAGCTCGCATGATCAAAAAGTGGAAAGAAACTAATTGTGACACTGCTTTGCATTTCCTTTGTAATTGCACACATACTGTGTATGGTGCCACTGAGAACATGTGGCAGTAAATGTATTGCTACGTCTTCAGAGATTGCTTCTAAAGGGGCTTTAAAGAGTTTGTACCTCTAACCAAATCAAACTCTAAGATGAAGACGACACTGTGTTCGCTTAAGCTAGAACCCTGCAATATTAACAGAGGAAAATCTTTTTATAGTTAATTCTGTCCAGGCAGAAACCATTTAATTGCAAATGCATGTAAACAATCTTTATTTTTGTATGAAAAGCAACATTTTGCAGAGGGTTGTCATTACTGCAGGAAAGGTTAACAACAGAACCAAACTCGGGACTGGGATCCGGGAGCAATATTTTATCCTCACCACTGACTCACCCCTTCCCCTTGGGCACATCACGTCTCAAATTCTTCTCATGTGAAATGGGGATAACACATACCAGCCTCCTTCCGAGCAGTGCTGTGGGGATCTACTCCTGCTTGCAAGGCACTGTCCAAGTGCTCTGACTCATCATTTTGTGCATACACACACAGGAAGGGACATTATAGTGACTACTGGTGTTCAATTAGACCATCTTTCAGGGTTTAAATATGCATAAGGCAGGCACATTTATTAGTAACTAGACTGATCAAGCACGCAAGGGCAAATAGTAATTTACCTGCATTTCTCTGCCATTTAATATAAAGTTTCTCGTCTCTATAGTGCTCAAACAAGAAACAAGAGGCACAGAGCACACACTCTCACATCCTGCCCTGCAGAACACTTGCTCTAAATTAGATCTTTGCAGGCTTACAAACAATGTTAGGTGTAGAATTTGTTAGCACAAGAAAAGGAAAGACTTGAGTTAGTAGCATTCATTGCAAAATACCTCCTTCTGTAGTTACTGCTACCAAATGTGTATGCTGACGAAGATCAGCACTCCCGATCTATTGAATTGGTTGCCAGTGCAGGACCAGGAACCGTTTTGGAAATCTGGGAGACATGTATGGACATGGGGCCCAGACGTGCACACAGAGCCAGCACTGCACTTCCTAATGAGGCGGATCTCGCCCATTACGCGACCAGCATGCAGTCTTTGCAGAGATGGCACTGAGGCTTACACAGCGCCATGATGAACTAAAGAGTACTTCTGTTTGTTGGTTATTTTGTGGCTTACATTTTGAATCTGGCACGGAGACACGTGGAAGAAGAATGTTTGCTTTACCGAACTTGAGTCAGAACAAGGAGAGTAGGACCCATAACTACTTGATAGTATGCTGAAGCTATGTGAACAATAGTTTTATAATTACTAAAATGATTGTACTTCTTTAGGCTGAAAAACTCTAAGGGACATTAATTTTGATATCCAACATAAAAGCAGATAAATAATACATGGCTACAAAACTTTTCCAGTTGTGGAGCTTCTGGTATTTTACCATCTAGTTTTGTGCAAGTATTCTTATAAATTATGTATTAGCTTTTGCCGCCATCCTAACTTTTTAAATGACTCGACAAGGAGAAAAGTTTGGGGATTAAACTTGAGGAAACTTTAATTTGTATAATTTGTGATGATTTTTTTTCTAACTGCTAAAGCAATAGAAATACTGTAGATAAAGCAAACCCATAGCAGGGGGTACAGTTAGCTAGAAAAGAAGATGCAAATGAAGAAAAAAAAAACATTCTGAGAAGTCTGGTAACCTGTTGGCTTGTTTTAACCCTTCATAAACGAGCCAAAGTTCTCCATCCTCATTCAGCATATGATAGTCCTGGGGAGATTGCCTTTCAAGAAAAGTGTTTAAAAAAATACAAGAGAGATACGTGATGGTGATGAGATGACATGTTATAAGGACATTACACACTAAATTACAGTTACTATAAAAGAGAAACAAGCAATGCTCTAAAACAACTTGGCAAATTACTTTTCTTGTTTATATGTATTTCTTCTTAATGACGAAATTCAGTTCTCTGTGTTAGCCCAACTGATTACAGCATTTCATGCTGTTACAATAAATGTATTATGACAGACCATTGTGACAACTACTGGACAAAAGGTAAAAAACCAGCATGGGGAATGGCACCCAATTTGAGCAATGTAGCAATTAAAGGCTAAGAAGATGTAAATCCAGGAAGCTTCATTTTGCACTTCCCCATTGTTTCCTAATCCTTTCAAATATTGCATACAGCAATTTTACTAATCAAATGAAATTACCCAACTACAGGTGTTCACTAAGTATCTAGACTTAATAGGATGCAACTTACTGAATGATACACTATATCAGACCCCCAACTGATCATAGATTAAGGAAAGAGAACTTGTACCTGTTTGTTTCCTTCAGTCCGATATACGCCTGTGCTATTTCGCCTTTGTCTTTCATCTTTTGTACATCCTCCAAGAGAATTGTAGAATCTGTCATGGTATTCTGGCAAAAGAATGATGATTTCCAGAGTAAATTTAACAATGTAATTGTTCTTTGAATCCATGTTTTCATCACTTTACACACATGGAACACTAATCCTGGAGTAGGCACATTAAAATTGGCATGGGTACCCGAGCAGGAGGTTGGTCCACAATTTCTATGTCCATTTGGTGTATCTTTTGAAATGAATGCATGCAATGTAGTCAGATATCAGCCTGTCTAATGAGCGGGTACATGTGTTAACCTCTTTTCATTTGTTTATCATGTAAAAGGAACAAAGTAAATTTAATGAAATAATGAATTAGCATTTTATTTCAAATTACCAGGAACAGTTGCTAATACTGAAACTGAAGAAGCATAATTTTGCATGCTTGATTCTATTAATATTTCTTAAACACAGCACTACATATAGTCTTTCAAATCTCATATATAAGGTCCGTTCCTCACTTCATGTGTTTCAAGTACTCTGGCAAAGCAGGAAATAATTTTCGAGGGCCTGAGATTTTTTGAGTTAGATATCATCATGATACCATTTTGCTTCGGTTTTAAATGCTTGCTGTGGCACTTTTGCTTTTTCTTCAGTAAAACTTGAAATACTTAACAGATGTTTACAGTCACCTCAGCCAGTCTGATCTGAGTCACTGCTGTGGATAATTACAGTGGAACCACAGGACTCTAATGAACATGAGAGATGTAAGTCTGACCTTTTTTTTTTTTTTTTTTTACTTTCAAAACAATCAAATGCTATTTTCCTGAATAAAATTTTGCAAAGTATTTACAGTAACAGCTTTGTGAACACAAATTTTGGAGCCAAGGTCTCTATGCCTAGTACAATTCGTGTTACCTAATAAGAAAACCAACAAAATACAGAAGCTCCTCAAAGAATTATTCCCAACATCCTTATGAGATCTTTGTGATTTTTCTGCTATTATTTTATTACACAGTAAAACTGCTGTATCTCACCTGCCAATCTATCAAGCTTCAGCAGTCTGAACATATTTACTATTTTTGTGCTGATGGAAAGAAATGCCAATTACTCTTCTATCTTCATGAATACACTGCCTGCTGTAGCAGTAATATTTGAATTAACAACCTTCATTTAGAGCCCGTTCAGTTTCTCACAGTCCTAAATACTATGTGTTCAATTACATTTTCCAATCAAACATTCAGCAATACCTATCTAATATCTACAGATCGCACCATGCGAGCTGAATGTTTGTTGCGTCATGAGGATAACAAACACTATAAAGTAGTTCTTCACACCAGACTTTTTTTGTTGAAATTTATGGATTTTGCAAGTTAACAGAGACCTGACTCCTGAATCACAATGCCGCTCTTACTCTTCTAACACACTCAGTAAGATACATCGACTGAGCTGACTAGACCAATTTCTGAATCATTCGTGTTCAGGTTACCATAAACCAACAGTTCAAAATTGTTAAATCTACTTCTTTTGAAGTAGCTCGTTCTCTTGCGTGGAGCAGGAAAATGGGGATGCAGGGGACATAGGGTAATGGGAAAGGTTTTTCAATAACAGCAAAGTAAAGTACAAGAACAACTTCAAATACATGTAGGTTACTTATGAGAGGCAGGGAGGTGACAGCTCGAGTATTGTTGAGGAGTTTTTTAGCATTTATGAGTTCTGGTTTATAACTGTAGAAGAAAATGTGTACCTTATCCTCCTGGCAATCAAATTGGTAGGCAAAAAAGAAGAAAAACATATCATTATAGAAAAGAATCTGTCTGTGCTGCAGCTGTTCAACCTAAGAAGCAGAAGCAATCTGCAAATTGGCTGTTAGCCATCCCACAGGTCACCTTCATATTTCCCTCATACTCATAACTGCTGTAAAAACAACACTTGTATCTCACCATTGCTGAGAATAAGTTCTTCAAGGATTTACTATTCAAGTATTTATTTACAACGTTCTAAATATTGCAGAAAAATGAGTTTTGTTTTCTTTATAATTAGTCATTTAAAATAGGATATGTACAGCATCATGCATCACAGACTTTCAATTTATTTAGGACAAGTAAAACACAGCTTAGCGGTTGCAAAGGAAAGATGACATATCTGTTCATTCCCTGCTGTGGTTATGAAACACTAGATAGCTCAGTTCAATAGAAATTACTAGTTCATGGATTTACGTGATTTTTTTTTTCCAGGTTGAATGACTTATTTTCAAAGCTATTAGCTCCCTAAGTGTCTTATCAGAATTAGAGCCTTTTAGAAGATATACATTTCAGCAGTTGTAATCTACTCTTCTCAACAAAACCACATAGCATCTATCAGGCAATAATACGGAATTTATATGTCTTCATAGGTCATCTTTATGAAATGTTATTTATTTGCAATCATCTATGACCCCACATAGATCTAGAAGAAATTGTTCCTTGTATCTCCTACTGAACTATTAATTAAAAAGAATTCCTGAGAACTATCATAAATTTTCTGGTCAAACTACATACCCGGTAGAGAAATGATACTGCTCCAAATGCAAATTATTCCTGCATTGTTAAAGGAGCCCGAGGAGATCCTGGCCAGACCATTGGAATCGGCCAGCCTAGTGTGATTAGTACGATGTCTTTACATGAGTGCAGGTAGACAAACCCCAAATTGCTTTATTAATAGAATCTCCCTATTCAGACTGCTGCAATTTGTGCACTAACAATGGATTAATGGATGACACTTAGAAAGGCTTTTAGTCTGGAGAAGAGGAGGCTGAGGGGAGACCTTACCGCTCTCTACAACTACCTGAAAGGTAGAGGTGGGTGCTGGTCTCTTCTCCCAAGTAACTAGTGATAGGACGAGAGGAAATGGCCTCAAGTTGCACCAGGGGAGGTTTAGATTGGATATTAGGAAAAATTTCTTTACAGAGGAAGTGGTCAAACATTGGAACAGGCTGCCCAGGGAGTGGTGGAGTCACCATCACTGGAGGTGTTCAAAAAACGTGTAGACATGGCACTTCAGGACATCGTTTAGTGGGCATGGTGGTGTTGGGTTGATGGTTGGACTTGATGATCTTAAAGGTCTTTTCCAACCTTAACGATTCTGTGAAACCTAGCCCATTTTATTCTGCCTTTTCAAACACGCTGTTAAATTAAATAAAGCATGTCAGTGATGCAATGTAACTTTATACACGGTGCATCTGCTGACTATTATTTACCTTGGGTTGAATAGCCTCTTTCTGGCTAACAAGCTGAGACCTCAGGATGAGGACTTCTTCCTTGCGTACTTCAAGCTCTTCACTTACTGAAGTTAGCTGATCCAAGAGGACTCTATATGCAGGGGCACCAGGAGCAGTTACCTCTGGAGATCGCGTTTCTGTGAGGGCCTTCTGCAGCTCATTCAACTCATTCTTCAGTTTTTTATTCTCAGATTCAAGTTCTTGACGCTGCAAGAAATAGGGTCAATTCCGTCACCCAGCAGCACTCCAATGTGCCTATAAACCACAGGTAAAAAACTATGGATAGAAATGGTAAAAACGATGAGTAACTGCAACAAATCAATCTCTCCCATGTCCCTGGTCTCTTGACTATGGTGAATCGTGCCTGGGAGGATTTCACAATAGGGCTAGCTTTTTGTCTGAAGAGCAAAATCAAAACACATATACATGAATCGTACAGATTTGATGAGAAAAAAATTACCAATCTTTTTGTCCTCTTACTCTCCCCTTAACAAAAGAAATTAAAGTTCACAACCAATAATGGTCAGCAGGCTAAGAAGATTCTGCATCATTCAGTGATATTAGATCAATAAAACTAAAAATATTTCCTAAGGCATACATTAATTAAAATAATGTGTTTGGAAAAGAGGGCTACCTTTATCACTGTATGTTTGCTGAAATAACTTGCAAGCTGTACTAAGTGTTTCAGAAGAGAACGCTCCCTGTTGTAGGGGACCTTTTTGTTCTGCAGCTCCAGCCACAAATTCTACACCTCAAGAAGGACAATCCTACAATAAAATAATTGCTGGGGAATTTTTCTTCTAGTTTCTCCAGCTAATATTCTGAAACAGGAGTGCTGATGTAATTTTCTATGCCAGCACATACAATTGGTGGCAATATTATCTCTAGAAAATAACAGAAACCTCCTTTTTAGAATTACCTTAAGTGACTCATACTCCAACTCTGCACCTCTTATTGGAGGCCTTTCCTCCTCCTATGAAAGAATACAGACAAGTGTGAAAAATAAAAATCCAATCCTTTCTATTCTTTAATTTAATTGAGGCAAGAAAAGGAAAAGGAGTTGAAATTATTTTCCTGTAAAACTGGGAAACACTCATTCTGGTACTGCTGAGTGCGTTAGTTTGAATATTGGCATTGTCTCCTTTCATTTACTTATGAATTTATGTCACATAATTGGTTAATATAAATAAGATCATGTACAAATCACAGTACTGTCACTAGTAATGAAACAGAGCAGGATGAATGCCAGGATGCTCAAGAAATTCACTGGTGGAAGGGTAATAAGAAACAATTGCCAAAACTGGTTTCATATTTTTTATAAGTGCTTAAGGAGACCAAATCAGAGAATTTCAAATAAAATCATGTCTAATCCCAGTGCTTTGGCTCTGCATTCTTGTTGAAACACTTCTCATTCTGCCTAAAATGAAGAATTACTCATCCTCCCCATCATCTAAGTAGAATTTCTATATTGCTATTCCTTAATAAAATCAGCTTTTTTTTTTTCCCCCCCAAGCACTTTTTGTTCCTGCTAACTTCAGTCAGAGGATCTCAAGGACCCTGGAAAACTAAATAAGCAGTCCCTAGTTCTAAGCACCAGGCATAAAACTTGTCGTTAAATAAAGCAAGTACTAGAGGAAGATTAGGATTTAGTAGAAGCAAGTCAGCATTCACACAGCCACTATTTCACAAGCAGGGATACTCTGGCATCAGCATTTGATCAGCTAGAAGTCCACCTTAGCTTTAGCACGGAGAGCCTGTTCTTCCTTTCTGTCCAGCTCATCCTGCAGGGATTGCTTTTCTTGCTCCAGTTCTGTAACCCGTTTCTGCAGCTTGAGGAACAAAGACATATCCAATGGTGCCTTTTTCTCACTTGGTTCCTGCTTTAGAGAAAACAGAAGCAAGTCAAGAAGTACTCCCCTTCCACATCACAAGGAAGCACTACAGTGAGTAAAGATGGGAAACAGACTGGGGAAAGAGAGGAACATAGAAATGTTACTTGATTCTGAGAGTTGACTACTGGCATCTAAAATACTTCATAGCTATTTTAGAAAAGGCTCTACTAGTATAAAACATATCTAAGCCTAAAGCCTAGCAAAAGAAAGGACTAAACACTACCTAGCAGACAGAAGGTCTGTAATTAAGCATACCTTTCATTCTTACTTGTTTGGAGGGGGGAAGGAGAAAAAAAAGTCTGTGGTTAGACTCACCTGGAAACAACTGTAAATAGAAGTGCTCTTTTTTTTTTTAATAGTTTTAAATTGTTTCTACAGTAAGTTCTTCAGTTACAGACAAATCTCCCTGCTGACTGTAGATTTACAGGTTAATTTATTGGGATGTGACCTAAGTAGGTTCCAGAAGATATATTTTATGTCTTTTTCTTTTATTATTCTAATTATACAGCCTGTTCTGGGCCTAATCCACTAGTTTTCTCACTATTTGCTGGGCAAAGACCAGCATTTGTCATCTGAAGGTGCATCAGAAATTGTCCATCACTCATTTTGTAGTTTATATAGCACAAAGATCAAAGCATTTACTGTGAAGTGCACCGTAAAATTTTGAAGCATAAAAAGATATGAGAAAATTAATATTAATGACTGTAGCAGACAAGCAAGCACAGCCATTTCCACTTCATCTCCTTTTACTGTTGAGGCGAAGAGTCCTAAACCACATCAGCAGCTCAGGAAAAAGAAAACAGACTTTGAGTTTTCTGGCTTTACTGGTTTGTATTGAGATGGACCCTATTTTTTAATGTGGTTTTGTATCATTAATGTATACTGTTAGTCTAGAGTCAAACTGAAGTTTTAAATCTTAAGAGGTTAAACAAATAGAGATTTAATCTTCTCAGTGCTGCATTTACTCACACTCTTGTGTGAGTTAATTTTTTTCATTTGTATTCTGAAAACCAAAACTGGCTCTAGAACAGCAATGCAGTAAGTCTGTTAGCCAAAGGAAAAGATGACATTTGGCTCAGATGTGAAATCCAGTCACAGATTGTAGTTGTTGTTGCACTGTCCTTTTCCTGGTTATCCAGGAAGGTTGGAGCATCTTCCTGAAACAATTATGCAAGGTGAAAAATGTAAGTGGGAAGGCAAATTATGAAAGGGTCCATGTAGAGTATGTGCCAGCATCAATGTGTCAGGGTATTTGCATCTGTAGTAGAAAATAATTTTCTGCAGAGGCTCTCAAAAACAGTAATGCTGTAAAAAGCACCTGTGGAGATAACTAACCTAGACAGAGGGCAAATGGAGTGAGCTGTGCAATGGCTCACAGTTAAGAAGATCTCTAAGAATGCACAGAAAAAGCTTTGCATCTGCAAACTCCCAAGGACAGTCAGACCACCACCCTGACTGCTCTCTGCTGTGTTAGCAGTGCCGCTTCTTTGGGAGGGGCCAAAAGGGGGACTTCTCTTGGAAAATACTAAGAATGGCTTGGAGGTGCGCCACAAATTATTCATTATTACTATTCATTAGCTGAATCAAGAGAGTCATCTTTCTGAAAATTTTTAAATAGCCTGGGATTTGTATCACTGCATATGCAAAGGGATAGTACATTCTCGGAGTTTTTTTCATCTCTAAGAAATAGAGGAAAAGTGAATCAACATGAGGTTCTCAGCCCTAACAGAGAACTTCCCACTTTTAATCCTTGAATATACAATATACCAAGTTCTCAGGAAGTCTTACTGGTTTTCTGAATTCCCACTTTGTGCTGAAAAAGTGATTGTGCTTACAAACACTGGCAAGCAAATGTTTTATAGATGCAAATCAACTGGATGGCCCAGCATATAGTCTATGTTTACTGTAATACAGAAGAATTCAAAGCATACTTTAAATTCTTTTTATATAGGACCACAACTAACTAGAGAACGAGCTGTTTTCAAAACATAAAAAAGATGTAAAAGGTGGATTGAAGCATTAGGTATCTCAGTAGAAGGATATGGTGTTCACAAGCACGTACGAAAAAAAGAGACAGGAGTAAGTTCAACCATTGATCAATGAAAAGTTGTGGAGTTTTTTTAACATTACCTCTATCCTCACTGGTAAGTCTTCTGCTTCTGTGATCTCAGAGCTAAAAGTATATTCAGATTCATTGCTACTGTGAGTTGAATCCGTTCTTTTGTGTCCAGGCTTGGGGATGTTCTGGAGTGCAAATGAAACAAATCAATACCACTATATGGTTTTTGCTGTGACTGTCTCTTCACAACCTATAATTTAGCTTGCAATATTTAGTGTTATTTCACAGCTATCAAAATTTATAAGAAAAGATTTTTGATTCTGGTGTCTCATGCCACCTAAAGCCTATGAGATGTAGTACACAATCAAATCCATGGAGACAGGTCAGATCCTACACCATCAAGTATTGCTGCAGAAAGCAGAATCAAGCAACAACACAGCATTTTGTGGGAAAGAAAAGCTCCGTTTACAGGAAGCACAGGCAGCAATTCTCTAACTTCCTAGACATACACTGTACTGAGGAATATTTTTTCTTCCTGCCACATAAAATATTCCTAGAATTCCTACTTAAAATTTAACACTGGATGAGCGTGGTACAAACCACCCTAGCACATGGGAATAGCTTTGGGGCAAAATAAGGGCACACGGCACATGCAGTATCACTAGTAAAATCACAGCAGAAATTTAGCCTTCTTCACAAACATGAAAATAAAACTAAAATCTAAAAAAATCAACCACAAATTTTAAATGTATTTGTTTTGGCTGAGCTAATCTAATTGATCAATTTTTAAAAGGACAAATTCTCTTTTCAGGTATAGGTCACCACCACACTGCTGACAGCAGAAGCAGTTACTAACTTAAACCACTAGATTCTGCCTAAATACATTTGTGAACAGCTTTTGATTTCTCAGATGTTTAGCCACTTACCACCATTAAGTTCATTTCATCCTTGAGATCATCATACCGCTCCTCTAAACGGCTGAACTCATTCAGCAGGTTCTGGTACCGTAATCGTTCATCATTCAGATCTAGCTCTAGCTGTTTTGTTTCCTCCACTAGCTTCTTTTCCATCGTCTCTGCCACAGAGAACAGGAATCCAAAGTGAGAACTCCAGTTCTACCTACCATGCAGCGCACCCATCCTGGAGGTACAGGCATGTGTCTGCACCAGGAACACAGATGGTGAAACAGTCTGCTGTTTCAAGCTGGTGTGTGGTATTCGTGCTTCTGCAGGCAAACATTAAGCCGAATATATGAAGGACCAAAGCATTATTGTGGTAACCACAGAGGGGTTCACCAGTCAAGTTAGTTATTCTGCTAATACCTTGCATTAGTAATTCCAGGAGGGAGGAAGAAGGGGCACTAGCCCAGTGCTGTGTTATGTAAAAAGTAAAATGTGAGATGCTTTATGCCTCAAGCACACTGACCCTCCTCATTGCAGCTGCCTCCATCACAGCCTTTGCATCCAGAGTTATGCTATTCAGAAGAGCTGCAGTAGATTAACTGTATTAAATATCAGAGCCTTCTTTTTAAAAGTAAAATGCTTTGTAACAGTCACCCTCAGCAAAAAGACCCCAAATCCTTAGGACTTCACGGAAGCTCAAATAGTAAATAGTTTTGATGCACATGAGTTCTTAAAACAAAGAAATGAAACCATTAAACTAAAAAGGAATGTAAACTAAGGCAAATTAGCCCAGTCTATGCAGTAGAATGGTGCCTTACAAGGTAGCATGAAGTAGAAAACCTGAGTGAAGAGAACAGAGCCAACCTGTTATTTCCCTCGCCTGGTCATGGATGCGGCGGGTTCGGCCCCGTTCAGCTCCTCCTTTTCTGTTTTCAGTAATGTGTTCTGCTCTTTCAGCTCCGACACCAGCTACACAGATAAAATATCTGACTCAGAATGCAGTTCATCTTTCATCAGTAGCTCTAACAGAAACTACATCCTTGTTGTAAAAGTTCAAATACTTAAAAGTTTTCCTCACAGAATGAAATCAGTGAACTAAGTTAATGACACCTTCATTTCCTAAATTACATGTCTTAAATATGACCCACTACAGATTCCCCTTTATGTTCTCCACTCCCATTTCTGATCAGATGCCAAAACTGCCTTGAACCACTCCACTGTGCCATAATATTTTTCAGTAAAGTCTCAAAGACATAATTTATTCCTTAAAACAGAAATGTTCCTAAAATAGGAACAAATTTGGTAGTTCTGTTGTATATTCCATTGCGTTGGTTAACACCATAATCTAACATCTTGCCTCTGCCCAAAAGTTGTACCACTTTAACCATGCAAGGTTTGCCAGTTACTCATTCGTCTCTGATTATGGTTACTACACATTCCTTCTGCTTAATCAATTAATATTTTTCCTTATGTTTATCTGATCTTGAAATGTATCACTGCAGCATCACATAATGATGGAATGGTTCTTTCAATATTCAAAACTTGCACTGTTATCAGCAAGTAATCTTGACAGGAAACAACCTGTTTGATATGTTCATGGTTAAAGCAAAGATAAGGGGTCAGTCAAAACCTGTTGAACTAGACTGTGCATACATACATGTGTTTAGTAGGCTAATTGTTTAAATTAGGTAGGATGAAAGTAGGTACCTTTGAATACTGTGTATTGGACAGATTTCTGATATCTATGCGATTACATTCTCTAGGTAGGTAAAATTATTTCTTTTTATGAATGCACTACCTCTAACTAATTGAGGAAGCTTAAGTATTTGGATTTGCAAATACTTTCCATATCAAAATCTGAATAGACTGAATGCATAAATTTACATACAGTATATAGATTTAGTATATTATTCTACCATAGGTGTAGTTATTTAGGTATCAAGCCTGGTTAGGATTGTACAGGTACAACATTGCTTAAAAATACTGTAAAAATATCAGCCACACAACTGAAGCAGTTAAGCCTGGGCAAAACCTGAGTGGAAACCAAGCCCCTATAAATCTTCTCATGCATCTGAGACTGCATACTTGCCTGCTCAGTTTCATGTTTGTATTTGTCTGCCCATTCCTCAATGGTCTTCTTCTCAGACTGAGTTTGGTGCAGCTCCTTCCGGAGCTTGGCAATCTCCTCCTGAAGGCTGAGGACACGGTTGGTTGCGTTCTTAGCCTCCTCCTCACTCATCCGAAGCCTTTCCACATCACTCCGCAGCTTTTCTGTCTCCGTACTGTACGTGATCTCCAGGTTGCTCAGCTTCTCCAGCAGAGATTTGTACTCTTTGTTCTTTGCAAAACACAACACATAGCAGCTGTTGGAGAAGTTCTGG